GTGTGAGCTTCTCGACAGTGCTGAAAGGGAAGGGCTATGGGTTCTTATCTGGTTTGCGGTAGGAGTTTTTGGGGTGCAGCTTTGCGTGAAAGCCGATAGTATCGCATTGACAGAGAAGAGAGGAGACGGGGAGAGAAAAGCAGTGTGAACTCGTTCTCTCAAAAGCTATGGCTGAGGTTCCCATCTACCTGTTGGCATCGCAGAGCCTTGCACACTCGAGATAAGGAACCGTCTAGAAAAGACGGCACCGAGGCCGGGAGTTGAGGATGCAAAGCTGGAGTGTGGCTCCCCTCCCACTGCTGCTGTTTCTCTGACTCGGAGCAGATGCCTCCTTGTTCCCAGCCTCATCTGTAAGATGGGACTCGTACCCGGAGCTTCAGAATGTCAGGGATGTGCGAAGTGTGATTCGGGGAGGGTTCCACTCAAAACAATTCTGTTTCTGAATGAAGTTCTTTCACGAGGGCAGAAAACGGATTTCCGTGGGCCACGTGGGTGATCGGGATTCTCGAGCAGTGATCCGTGACTGTCCTGAGCCCCCCTGGAGCTTGGTCTGCGGCCTCTTCCTCTCGGCCGTCCTGCAGGCCCACTGGGGCTGCTCCCTCGTGTCCGGTGGGGCACACGGGCTCCGTCTAAACCCTCAAGCCTCCTCCCCGCACACTGTCCAGGAGCTTTGGCTGGTGGCATTTTGTCTCTTCAGTCTGTGTGGACTCTCTTTAGTACTTCAGCAGGGACTTGAGAAGCTGAGCCCGTGACTTATCCACACTCCGCTCGCGCTGGCTTGGGGTGATTTTTAAAAACATATTCGAGCGTAACACGAATGCAGAAAATATACACATGTAGCGTAGAGGGCCTGAGGACTTGGCACAAACTGACCATCCAGGTCCATTCATAAGACCTGGACGGTTCCCAGAAAGCCCACCACCCCCTTGTCCAGGGGCCAGTCTCGCTTCTAAAGCTCTGGATGCTTTCACCCTGCTGTTCTCATGTGTAAGTGAAATCACAGCGGATGTTTTCTGTTGTGTCTTCTTTCAGCTGAGCAGGTCTGTTTGGGACACAGTTGCGTGTTGTCCCGGGCCCGCCTTCTCATCGCTGCAGGGAGTTTCAGGATGGGGCCAGGCCCCAAAGCCATCCAGCTCTTCTCATCTTGGGGAACGTGGGGGTGGTGTCCCATCCGGGGCTCTGGCGAGGAGGGCTCCTCGGGGTGTTCTCCGCCAGCTCTGTCCTTGCACGAGGGGGCACATTGTTCTCAGTGTGTACCTGAGACAGGACTCGCCAAGCTACAGATGCGTGTATGTTCGATTTTACGAGATACCAGAAAATTCCGACGACTTTCCAGCTGAGCCCCACTTATGGGTTTTGTTTGTTTCTTTCTGCCGTGGTCTTTTCATCAACATACACTATCGCTCGGGACAGGCGGCGAATGCAAACATGGAAGACAGTGGTTAGAAACAGTGGGTGGAGCCTGCTTCGCCCTCTCTCCATCCGTCACCCAGCACACAAAATGCGTTTTCTTTCTTTTCCATTTTTTTTTTTAAACAATGCGAACAAAAAGGAACAGAGGAATGGAAACAGTTCCTGGTCATAAATTGTACAAATTGTTTTCGGGAAGCCACGTAATAATTATGACATCCATCCCAGCAAACTTGGGCAGGTGGCGGGTCTGCCCTATACGCAGTCTTCTGTGTAGGGGACGTTTTGTCCTGTTACATTAAGCTCAGAAACTAGAGCTAGAGGGGTAGGAGTCTTTTTTAAAGAAAGAACTCTGCAGATATCTCCGTGGCTTAGTGGGTAAAGTGTCTGCCTTCAGCTCAGGTCATGATCCCAGAGTCCTGGGATCAAGTCTCTCATTGGGCTCCCTGTTCAGCAGGGAGCCCAATGAGTCTGCTTCTCCGTCTGCTTCTCTCCCTGCTCGTGCTCTCTCTCTCTCTCTCAAATAAATAAAATCTTAAAAAATAAAAAAATAAAAGAATGAAAGAAAGAGCTCTGCGCACCCAGAAGGGTGAGGACATGGCCATGCTCTTTCCAGGAGGTTCCATCTCGATGGAGTTGAGGTTGGGAAAACCACTTACTGCTTTAACAAGTTCTGCTTAGCTAACTATTTAAATTAATTAAATTAAATTTTGAACAGAGAGCACATTTACATAATTCAAAATCAAAAGGTATTGTAGAAAAAGATAAACAGGGAAGAACCTTCCTGCCACACTGTTTCTCTCCTATCTTGTACCCCCCACAGTTGGCCACATTTCCTGAGTATCCTGTGTCCCTCCAGATCAGTCAGGGCGTAATTAAAAGCCTTCTGCAGTTCCTGTTTTTGAAAACATTCATTATTTTTTTTTTTCTGTTGGTCTGTTGGTCTTTTTCTTACTAATTTACAGATTGGAGAAATAAACCCGTTGTTTATGGTATGGTTACCAATGGTGTTCCCACCTTTCTTATCTTTTGAGCTTCCAGATGGTTTGTTTTCCCATGCTGAGTTTTTTGTTTTTTTTTTTGTTTTGTTTTAACAGTCAGATTTATCAATCTTTTTTTAAGTCTTCTGGATTCTGAGCCCTTCTCCACTCCAAAGGCAGAAAGTTATTTTTCATGCTTGGACGCTATCTTGGGGGATAGTGTGAGCTAGGATTCGAACCCCTCGAGGGATTATGAGAGACGAGATGTCAACACAGAACCATCCCAAGATCCAACCAACTCCACGTGGGTCACGTCTGCTCCTCCTCCTCCAAGACTTCTGTCCTTCAAGTCATGTCATCTCTTGTTGTCTTGCTTCTGATCTTTTCCTTCCTTCTCACATCTCATTTCCGTTTTACGTTTTTTTATTGTATGTGTTAGTCACCATACAATACATTATTAGGTTTTGATGTAGTGTTCCAAGATTCATTGTTTGCATATAACACCCAGTGCTCCATGTAATCTGTGCCCTCCTTAAGACCCATCACCAGGCTCGCCCATCCCCCAACCCCCTCTCGTCTAAAACCCTCAGTTTATTTCTTGGAGTCCATAGTCTCTCATGGTTCGTCCCCCCTCTCTGGTTCTCCCCTCTTCACTTTTCCTTTCCTTCTCCTAATGTCCTTCATGTTATTCCTTATGTTCCACAAGTAAGTGAAATCATATGATAATTGACTTTCTCTGCTTGACTTATTTCACTCAGCATGATCTCCTCTGGTCCCATCCATGTCAATGCAAATGGTGGGTGTTCATCCTTTTTGATGGCTGAGTAATATTCCATTGTATATATGAACCACATCTTCTTTATTCATTCATCTGAAGGGCATCTTGGGCCTTTCCATAGTTTAGCTATTGTGAACATTGCTACTATGAACATTGGGGTACATATAGCCCTTTTTTCACTACATCTGTCTCTTTGGGGTAAATACCCAGTAGTGCAATTGTTGGGTCATAGGGTAGCTCTATTTTTAGTTTTTTGAGGAATCTCCACACTGTTTAAGTGGCTGCACCAACTTGCATTCCCACCAACAGTACAAGAGGGTTCCCCTTTCTCCACATCCTCTCCAACATTTGTTGCTCCCTGCCTTGTTAATTTTGGCCATTCAAACTGGTGTAGGGTGGTGTCTCAATGTGGTTTTGATTTTGATTTCCTTGATGGCTAATGATGATGAGCATTTTTACATGTGCCTGTCAATCATTTGTATGTCTTCATTGGACACCTGTCTCTTCATTTCTTCTGCCCACTTTTTGATTTAAGTATCTGTTTTGTATGTGTTGAGTTTGAGAAGTTCTTTATAGGTCTTGGATTATCAGGCCTTTGTAGTATCATTTGCGAATATCTTCTCCCATTCTGTGGGTTGCCTCTTTGTTTTGTTGACTGTTTCCTTTGCTGTGCAGAAACTTTTGATCTTGAGGAAGTCCCCAAAGTTCATATTTGCTTTTGTTTCCTTCACCTTTGGAGACATGTCTGGAAAGAAGTTGCTATGGCCGATGTCGAAGAGGTGACTGGCTGTGTTCTCCTCTAGGATATGGATAGATTCCTGCCTCATATTGAGGTCTTTTATCCATTTCAAGTTTATCTTTGTGTGTGGTGTAAGAGAATGGTCGAGTTTCATTCTTCTACACATAGCTGTCCAATTTTCCCAGCACCATTTATTGAAGAGACTGTCTTTTTTCCATTGTACATTTTTTCCTGCTTTGTCAAAGATTATTTGACCATAGCATTGAGGGTCCATATCTGGACTCTTCTCTGTTCCACTGGTCTATGTGTCTGTTTTTGCACCAGCACCGTGCTGTCTTGGTGATCACAGCTTTGTAATAAAGCTTGAAATCAGGCAACATGATGCCCCCAGCTTTGTG